TGAAAATACGCAAGTAGATGGCTTTTACAAACCAAAATTTATCTTCTCACGTTTAGGAGACTAGAAGTCCAATTTCAGTGTGCCAGCCCTAGAGGAAGACTTTCTCTTTCTGTCAGTTCTGGGAAAGGGTCTTGGTCTCCTTTCAGCATCTGTAGGTCCAGCATTCCTTGGATATCTCCCTCTATCTTGGCATCAATCTCCTTCTGGATCTAGAAGCTTCACAGAAGAGAACCCCAGGGCAAAAGAACACGCTCCTGGCTCTTCTTTCTGGGTGATAGCAGGTTTCCTTTCTCTTATTTTTCTCTCCTTTTAGCTGTATAAGATAAAAGGTGTTGCACGCCACACTCCAAAGAAACTGCCTTAATCAGATCAGGATTGTGATGGGATTAAGGGTATTGCAATTCAATTGGCGATTATGTGCTGTGGAGTTGGTTCCGACTCATAGCGACCCTGTATAGGGTTTCCAAGGCTGTAAATCTTTAAATGACCAGAAAGCTTCATCTTTCTCCTATGGAACGGCTGGTATTTTTAAACTGCTGCTTTAGAGGTTATCAGTCCGATTCGTAACCACTATGCTACCAGAACTCCTAAGGATATTGCAATCTACTCTTATTGGTTTGTCATTTCAGATCACATCATGGAGAATCATTACATAATTGCCACATTACATCACTATATAACTGTCAGACCACTGAGAATAATAAACCAGCAAGCGAACACATGTTATGGGGGGACACAGTTAAATCTATGGGAGGATTTCCTAGGCTGTAATCTTTTTCAATTTTTTTATTAGTTTTTTATTGTGAATTATATGGGTTTACATGGGAGAACATCAGTTTTACATTCATCCTATCATATTTTTTTTCATTGCAATGATTACAATCCCCTCCATGCATCATCAAACAACCAAAACGTACACCCCATAGGCCTGTTCCCTGGCTGTCAGCACACGGCCCCTCTCCCTCCCTGAGTCTAGTGTCCCCAGTCGCTCCATCTGTCCATGTCATTGTCTCTGCCTCCATTTCTGGCATCACTGCTTCTCTGAGTAGGGTCTCACATGCCACTCTTCTCACTTGATGGTCCCAGGGACCTCTGCTCCTGGACTACAAAGTCAATCACTCCCTTCCTTTTGGTACAAAATGTTTACCTTTACATTTCTGACCCTCACAGTCAGTCCTGACAGCAATTATTCACTATTGTACCACAGGAGTCTTATCCCCATCTCCTTTTATTAGCCCAGTCCCAACGGAGTAGAAACCATTCAGTGGAGATTCTACCTTCCCCCGCCCCATCTGGAACTAGGCTCTCTCTTGAAGGTTTGTCAGCCAGTCACTTCTTGCCTTTGTAACCGCCCCCCATTTTGGGTATCCAATGTCTAAGTTGCCTATCCCTGTCAACCCTGTATACCGAGGAGGTGGGAATGATCCTCGCTGTAAAGATGTGTTCCCCTTTGTGAGCTACTACATCTATAAGTATAGGTAAAGTTCATCAACTGTAGCAGGTTACTCTTTTTTCTTCCTCTTTCTTCTTCTAGTCGAGGTCTGATCATCCAGCCATTGAAGCCAGGTCAAGTGAGTACTATCTGCAAGTATGGGTGTTCTTGTGCATCTCCCCTCACTTCATAGAAGTTGGACACTACTTTGCTCTCTGCTCTAGTCCTCTGTGGCCATGTCACTGCCTCTGTGCCCAGGAGTTCTCGGGTCTTGCCATACTGCTGGCTAACCAGGTGCCCACCCAGGTTTACAGGAGTCTATTGAATGTGGTCAGACTTAGCTCACAACTTCGTTGCTGATTTCCCCCCACTTCCCCTTATCGGTGACCAATGTGGTCACCAGACAGACCACATGCCTGCTCATGTATTCCCCTTGAGTCTTAGTCTTCCTAGGCTGTAATCTTTATAGAAGTAGATGGCCAGGTCTTTTCTGCCTCATAGCTGCTAGTGGGTTCCAACTTCCAGCCTTTCAGTTAGCAAATAAATGTTTAGCCACTGCCCTACCTTAGTTATTGTTAAATGCCATCGTGTCATTTCCAACTCATAGCGACCCTGTATAGGGTTCTCAAGGAGCATCTAGTGAGTTTGAACCACTGACCATGTGGTTCAAACTGACCTTGCGGTCCAGTGCTTTATCACAGCACCACACCAGGACTATCACATAGACTTCCCAAACTGGGTATCTCTATTACTGAATTTAGGAGTCCTGGTGTGGCGCTGTGGGTTTGAACCACAAGGTTGATGGTTCAAGCTCACCAACCACTCCTTGAAAACCCTATAGAGGGTCACTATAAGTCAGAATCAACTCGATGACACTTAACAACAACTTTACTGGATTTATGATTGTTTTTCTCCTCCAAAGTTTCCTACCTCATTAAATGGCTCCACCATTCTCCCAGTTGTTCATATCAAGAACCTAGGAATTGTCCTTAACATTTCCCTATTTCTTGGCAGTCCCTTTGTTTAACTAAGAAGCCCGGGTAGCTTAGTGAGTTATGAGTTGAGCCTATAATTACAAGGTCAGCAGTTTGAAATCCACCAGTCGCTCTTCAGGAGAAAGACGAAGGTTTCTGCTCCCACAGAGTTACAATCTCTGAAACCAAAAGGGGCAGTTCTATTCTGTCCTATAGAATCAATCACTATGCATTGGTTTTGACTCAACTGCAGTGAGTTTGTCTGACTAATCACTGATTACCTTCAGTTTCATCCTCTTGTGTGCTGCTTTTTGTCTCCATTATTGCCATCTTAGGCTGACACCAGGACTACTTGGTTCACATTGTGAGGAATTCTCAAGATGGTCTATCTTCAGGAATAAAGGGTCCATGAGAGATTGCTAGACCAGGCATAGATTGTTGATTCACACCCAGGGATATGTGAGCAGGATGAGTTGGGGAAGGGGGGAAAGAAACCTGTTCTAGGACTAGGAACTTTAAATAAGAATACAGTCATTAAGGCCATAGGTGCCATCCAGGCTAGATTGTGAACCCCATGCTAACTGGAGGAGGGAGTCTTGAAACAGGGGAATAAAACTCTGTGACCCAGTCATGCAGTGCATCTGCCCTTATCTTTGGGTCGGGCGCCTGATTTTGCAAAATTAAATAAAGAAAACCTCACTCTGGCTAAAATGAGAACAGATTGGGTTTCTTGAGCATTTGTCAGTAAGCACTTATGATCACTCATCAGTGCCCTCATAACCAAGAGAAACTGAGGCAGTATCCTGGGTATCCACAATGTTTCTCACAGAAATCACATCTTCTCTGGGTCACCTTAATTAATCCATTCTCCACAGATTCGCCAACGTTATGTTAAAAATAAGTTGTGTCATTTCCTTGCCCGAAGTCCTATAATAGCTCATAATGAAACTCAAACTCTTAATATGATCTATAGCTTTCTGTATCATCTGGCTTCTATCTACTTCTCCTGCCTCACTGCATGTCAGTTACACTGGCCTCTTCTCTTCTTTTGCTCACCTACCTCCTTTGTGATTCAGAGAGTCTTTCTGCAGCTGTTTTCTCTACCTAGGGCTCTCCACCAACACCAATCCTCTTCCCTGGCCAACTCTTATTCATCTTTCGTTTAATGTTGCTTCCTTGACGAAGGATTCTCTGTTCGCCTACATTAAATCACACTCACCTTTTCATGCTCTAAGTGCTCTTGCTACATCTCCCTGGAATGCATTTCAACTGCAGCTGAATGATTAATATAATTAAGTGTATGAATTATTCATATTTGTATTAGTAATATTCATATGACATAGTAGAGTTTGGTGTCTCTTTTGTTCTCCCTCTCAGCCCTGTCCCAGATTGTGAGTTCTATGAAAGTATGAAGTGAGTAAGTCTTGCTCACCACTGGCATCTAGGACCCAGTGATAATTGGTAAATATTTATTGAGTATGAATGGATGTCTACCAGAGAATGGGAATGAGTGTGAGGGGTTGGAGGAAGTACTGGTGTAGGAAAAGTTTTCCTGTCTTTACAAGACAAAAGGACATTTAGAGTCTGAATCAAAATACTGGTCCACCATTTAAAGGAATTGCGATTTTGAGGAAGATTCCTTTCATTTTTAGACCCAAGCAGTGAGTAACTGGAGTTGCCTCTAGCATGCAAAACATAAATGGCTCAGGCAGGCACTAAGAAATTAAGCAGACAAAGAAGACAGCAATTTCCTTCTTGGGTGCCATTAACCAGAGAGAGATGCTGACCACTTGGAATTAAAGCAGCTCTCATTGGCATACATCAGTGAGTGGGTCTAATCATAAAGACAAAGCCATATATACAAGCCTTTTGTTTGCTCATTGAACTGATGTATGATTGCTGTAGGGAACTGTGAAAATGATTGTCAGTAGTCTGACTTTCAATTTGTAATATATACAGAAATACTTTTGTGTTTTAAATGTGTCCTTTATACTCACATTACCCTTTCTTTGGAGTCCTGGTGTGGCACTATGGGCTAATGAGTCACACTGCAAAGTCATTTGAACTGCAAGATCGGTGGTTCAAGCTTACCAGCTGCTCCTTGGAAACCCTGTACAGGGTCATTATGGGTCAGAATTGACTCAACAGCACTTAACAACAACAACAACCCTTTCTTTTGCTGTGTACACTACATTGCAAAAGTAAACTTGGGATAAACTTAGAAGAATAGAAATAGGCTTTTGCATATGTGTAAGTGAGGAGTAAGAACCCCTGGTGGTGCAGTGGATTAAGCATTGGGTTACTAACCACAGGTCTGTGGCTCAAACTCACCAGTAGCTCTGTAGCAGAAAGAGGAAACCATCTGTTTCTGTAAAGATTTACAGTCTCAGAACCTCTATGGAGCAGTTCCACCCTGTCCTCAAGGATCACTTGTCATAAGTAAGTGCCCTTGCTAAGAGTTGTAAATAACTGGAAGGCAGTGGGATAAGTTAGGAATACACAAAAGAAAGCTATACATTTCTATACCTTTTCTTTTGTTTGTTTTTTTTCGTTTCTATACCTTTTCTTAAAATACCAATTTCTTACAACTAAACATGAGTATGGTGTGAGAAACTTTGTCAATACCAACAAATGCTCAAGCAATCCAATCTGTACTTATTTTAGTGAGAGTAAGGTTTTCTTTATTCGAGTTTGAAAATTGGGTGCCCAACCCAGTAGACATGGGCAGACACACTGCATAGCCGGCCCACAAACAGTTTTATTTCCCTGTCTTGAAAAAGCCCCTCCTTCAGTTCCCCTTTTTTTGGGTATTATAGAATTTACAATCTCCTCCCAAGGTTGGGAACTTTCTCATTTAAAGTTAGTTTCCCCCTTTCCCCATGAACTTCCTCTATTTTCTTGATGGGTGTATTCTTATATTAGTTCCTAGCCTAATCAAACTAGTTCTTCCCCTCCACTGAGTTCCTTTTGTTATGCTAACCTGCTACCCTCAAGACTTCCTTTAGTCCTGAAGATAGACCATGCCAACAAAAGTTATTTCTCACAATGGGAACTGTCTCTTGAATTTGTAATAATGATAAAAGTGTGTATGCAGTGATCATTTCTTAAGCTATTAAATACTCATTACAAAGTAAAATCTTCCCCATGTTACTGGGAGTGCCCATCCTACATGAGAGGGGCCTTGGCTTCTATTGAGTAAGAATAGTCAGGTGAGGCAGGGTTTCCACTCAAGCAAAAGTTTTCTATAGGAAAGAAGCTTGCAAGTGGAGCCAGGGAGGGCTTAACACAACTCTTAACCCCAAACAAAGACTTTGCTGGGGTTTTAAAGGTTTGGAGTAGGGAAAAGACATCAAGTGTATTCAAAGAGATAGAGAGGGATTTCTGGGAACAACACATTTAGGAGGGGGCATGCTAACTGGATGCCTGCACAGCATTTCTTCAAGATGGAGTTCACTGCAAAGGTGTTTGGTTGTTGTTGGTGAGTGCTGTTGAGTTGGTCTGTATAGGGTTTCTGAGGAGCGACTGGTGCATTTGAACTACCAACGTTGCAGTTCAAACTGACCTTGTGATGCAGTGTTTATCCTACAGTGTCACACAGGTGTCCGTTGTTGTTGTTAAGTTCCATCAAGTTGGTTCTGCCTCATAGCGACACTGTATAGGGTTTCTGAGGAACAGCTGGTGGGTTTGAACTGTTAACCTTGTGGTTTGTAGTCCAGTGCTGATCCTACAGTGGAACAACAGGAGTCTTGGTAGGGGCAGAAAAAAACTCATGGCATGCGTGGTTCATCAGTGTTCTGGTTTAAACTTCTCCCAGGGCCTGGTCTGCCTCAGTAGAAAGTTGTCTTTTAAAGTTATGTTTAAGACACTGGGTAAAGCAGTCTGACCTTTAAACTTCTGACTAGTAGCAGTCTGACTAGTAGATTATCTCACAAGGAAGTGTGAGAAATGTTGTCGATACCCTGGATACTTCATCAGTTCTTCTGGGTTATGTCACCAATGAGTTATCATGAGTACTTACTCACAAACACTCAAGAAATCCAATCTGTACTCATTTAATGAGAGTCAGGTGCCCAGTAGACATGGGTGGATGCCAAGCAAGACCAGCTTGCAAATAATTTTATCCTCCTATCTGGAGAAGGAGTCCTGGTGTGGCTGTGGGCTAATGCATCAGACTGTAAAGTCATTTGAACTGCAAGGTCAGTTGTTCAAGCTCACCAGCTTCTCCTTGGAAACCCTATACAGGGTTGCTATTTGGTTGGAATTGACTCAACAGCACTTAACAACAAATCTGGATAAAGTCCCTCCCCTGATCCTCACTGACAGAGTTCCAAGGGGTTAATCTTCCCTGATGCCACCTACCTTCCCTTGATGGCAGCATTCTTATTTAAAGTTAGTCTTCCACTCTCCCCATGAACCTCCCATTTCCTTGATGGTTATATTATTATTTAAAGTTCCTAGCAGGCCCAACAAGTGTCTTCTATTTTTACACTAGTCTACAACTCCCTGGACACCCCCACCCCCCCCCCAACTTCATTCCTGTGTCAAGTCTATAGCAATTTCCTAAATTATCAAATAAGAGATTGAACTATAGGGGGTTCTTTAAAGTTCACTCCTCGATTTATAATAATCCATCACTAATTGCCTGTGTAGTGCAATCAAGATGAGAATTGAGGCTCAGAATCTGGAGAAATCAGCTCCTCTGAGTCAGCCTGATAAAATCTGAAACCCTGCTTCGCCTCTCAGAGTGGCCTCAGTTTCTTCCACCACAAATCTAAAGCTGCTGTAACATTTGGTTCCCTGACCTTCAAAACCGACCGTGCTGGCCCCTTGCGCCACCGGATTGGAGTTGGGGCGTGACTAATGGCCAACTCCCCTAGTCGTATGAGATGGCATGCCACTGCCACATTTGACAGTCCCTCCTCCTCTGAGTGGGGACAGCCAGCCACCTTACCCACCTCTCCTGACCAGACTCAAAAGGAGAGGTAGAACCCGAGAAACCAGCCAAGACTTCAGGAACAGGTGTGTTCATCTTTTACTTCAGGTCCCAGGCAGTATGATGAGACATTCTATGAATTTCGTACTAATTACATTAAACCTTCAAAGATGAATGAATTCCTGGAAAATATGAAGAAAAACATTCATCTTCGGACTGCTCACTCTGAACTGACTGGATACTGGAATGTAGAATTTGGAGGCAGAACAAACAAAGTGTTTCATATCTGGAAGTATGACAATTTTGCTCATCAAGCTGAAGTTCGGAAAGCTTTGACCAAAAATAAGGAATGGCAAGAACAATTCCTCATTCCAAATTTGCTTCTTATGGATAAACAAGAGTGTGAAATAACTTACCTGGTACCATGGTGCAAAATACAAAAGCCTCCAAAAGAAGGAGTCTATGAGCGGGTTACTTTTCAAATGAAACCTGGTGGACCAGCTCTGTGGGGCGAAGCATTTCAAAGGGCAGTTTATTCGCATAGCAATCTAAACTACAGCAAACTGGTTGGAGTTTGCCACACAGAATATGGAGTCCTCAATAAAGTTCATGTTCTTTGGTGGAATGAGAGTCCAGATAGCCGTGCAGCTGGGAGACATCAGTCTCATGAGGACCCCAGAGTTGTGGCCGCTGTTCGGGAAAGTGTCAACTACCTAGTCTCACAGCAGAATATGCTCCTGATTCCTGCATCATTTTCACCTTGAAATAGTTTGCTACTGAAATGACACATGTAACTAACTGCTGTAAGAGGTCTCTCCTAATGGTGTTTAAATTCTCCTAAGAGATTCTCACTTTCAACTGAAGAAAATGGTAAGTTAATCAGCTATGTCCCTTACATTATTAAAAGCTACCTCTCTGTCCTTTGTCATTACTACTTCAGGATGGCATTTCCATATCTGCCGTACTTTAGAAATAGTTGCTACTGTTTTGTGATCTTGATTGTTCTCTTCGTTTTCAAATATTGTTGGTTTTGTATTTTGACAGCCTTTTTGGTACAACATTTTCTTACGTTAAAATGATTTTATATTTTCATCATTTGACATCATATGACAATATTTTAAAATTATTTATATGTAATATCTACCCTTTCAAGATAGCGGTTTTTCTAACAAAAAAGAATTTTGTTCAGTAAAGTTTATAATATCAAGTGGGATTCATAAGAATATTAAATATATTTCTTTGCATTGGAAAAGTATTGTATCATTTGTATTCATTATGGCTTTCACATCGTGGTCACTCTAACTTAGAAAATAATGTCTTGGTGTTAGACTTTTTAGGCATGTTGTTTTATATGGTGTAATATGTTAATTTGTAATTAATTTTGCTAACTTCTACCTTATTTTGAAGGAGCTCTGGTAGCGTAGTGGTTACGAATCGGGCTGCGAACCTTAAGGTCAGCGGTTCGAAACTACCAGCCGCTCCGCGGGAGAAAGATGAGGCTTTCTACTCCCGTAAAGATTTACACCCTCGGAAACCCTATACAGGGTCGCTATGGGTCGGAACCGACTCGATGGCACTTAACAACAACAACAACTACCTTATTTTGAGTTACTATTCAGCTAAGGTACTTGGAACATATTTTCTTTTATTCATTTGGATAAGCTTGCAATAATAAAAGCCTACATATTCAAAAGAAAAAAAAAAAGATGAGAATTGAGTAATTCCTGAAGATGGACCATCTTGAGCATTTATTTCTCACAGAAGTAAAAATACAGAATTTTTATGGATAGTCTTAATGGCATGTCCCAGGATGTGGCTGCTCAGCTGTATGCCCTGGGCATGTCCTACACACAGCTTTACAATTGTCCAAGCAAGAAGGGGTATAGCTTCAACATTGCTCAAGACTTGGGTCCCAAGATTTCAATAAATGGCCCATGTTTAATCCTGATTTCTGGACCCTTCCCCCCCCTCTATCTCACCTGTGAGATACATACATATATCCATATTGCTAGTGTTAAGTGTCCTCGAGTCAGTTCTGACTCATACCAACCCTGTATAGAGTTTCCAAGGAGCAGTTGGTGGCTTTGAACCACCAACCTTTCAGTTACCAGTCCCATGTTTATCCTACAGTGCCACACCAGGAGATGTATGTTGGTGTTGTTAAGTGCCATAGAATCTGTTCTGACTCATAAAGACTCTTTTTCCGAGGAGCAGTTTGTGGGTTTGAACTGCTGACCTTGCGATTCAGTACTTTATCCTACCTACAGCATCACATCAGGACTCCAGGATACGTGTGTGTATATATATATATTTATATATATATATATAAATCCTATGTGGTGTTGTAGGATAAACACCAGATTGCAAGATTGATTTGAACCATGGAGTGGGTGGTTCAAACCCGACAACTGCTCCTTGGAAACCCTATATCTAGTGCCTATGAATTAGAACCGACTCAACAGCACTTAAAAACACAACTAGATATAGATATAGATATATAGCCAAAGAGAGAGATAAGGGTAGGGAATACTTGTGTGATGCTGTAGGATGAGCACTGGAGAGATAACTGCAAGGTCAGTGGTTAAACCCTACCAGCCACTTCTTGGAAATTCTCTACAGGGTCACTAGGAGTAGGAACCAACTCAATGGCACTTAACAACAACAACATATATGTGTGTATATATAGATGGTGGTGGTGGGGGTGTGTGTGCCATAGAGTAAGTTCTGACTCCTAGCGATGCTGTACAGGGTTTCCAAGGCTGTAAATCTTTACAGGAGCAGAATGTCTCATTTTTCTCCCACAGAACAGCTGATAGTTTCAAACGGCTGATCTTGAGGTTAGCAGCCTGATTAATAACCACTATGTGCTCCTTGTGTATATATATTTATACACACACATACAGCCGTGGAAACCCTGTGCAGGGTCGCTATGAGTCGGAACCGACTTCATGGCACTTAACAACAACAACAATATATATATATATATGAGAGAGAGAAACAAGTAATTGGATGCTTTAGAGAATGCCCTAACTTTTCTTAACTTGTTGTACTTGGTAGAATATGATACTTTAAAAATTCAAATAATAAGTGAGTTCACTTAACATAATCTATTGCTTTTTTAGTGACTTATTTCTGTAGCATTCCAACAGGAGGGTGTGGGGGAAAGAGTGCTGGACTGGCAGTCCTCAATCCTGACTTCTGTGGGAATCAGCTGCTACCACTAAACCATTGTTCCAGCTCTTTATGTCTCCTGTTTGCTCACCTGTCAAATGGGAGGCCTTTTCTGTTCTAAAAGTCTTTGATTTCAGGGACATTTTCTTTCTTTTGAGTTTATTCTTTTTATTTTACATAGAGTCTTAAAAGTTAACAAACAAAAATATGGGAGAGGAAAAGGCTGTTTTAAAGTCAATGTACCTTTTAAGATTTTTGGAAGAATTCCACACTAAAAACATTCTGTTCTTTCTTGTGAGTTTCCTCATAGTTTTAATGTTTCC